CCACAAGTGGCTGCAACAGCCAGGGCTGAGCCAGGCTGAAGCCAGGAGGCAGGAGCTCCTTGGCAGAGGCCCAAACAGTTGGGTGATCTTTTGCTGCTTTTCTCAGGCCATTAGTAGGTAGCTGGAATGGAAGTGGAGCAGCCAGGACATGAACCAGTGCCCACATATGGGATGTTGGCATTGTAAGTGGTGGCTTACTCTGCTACACCATGATGCTGGCCCTGAGGGAGTTTTTTAAGGTGATGAAAAAGTTCTATATCTTGATTTGGGCTATGATTATACTGCTATATCCAGGTGTCAAAACTCATCAAATGGTACATTTAAAATCTGCACTTTGGTGTGTGCAAATTATATTTCAGTTAAAAAAAAAATGAGGTCAGGGGCTGGCACTGTGGCATAGTGGGTAAAGCCGCCGCTTGCAGTGCTGGCATCTCATATGGGCGCCGGTTCGAGATCCAGCTGCTCCACTTCCAATCCAGCTCTCTGCTATGGCCTGGAAAAGCAGTGGAAGATGGCCCAAGTGTTTGGGCCCCTGCATCCATGTGGGAGACTGGGATGAAGCTCCTGGCTCTTGGCTTCAGATCGGCACAGGTCCAGTCGATGCGGCCAGTTGGGGAGTGAACCAGCAGATGAAGACCTCTCTCCCTCTTGCTGCCTCTCCTCTCTTTGTATGACTCTGACTTTCAAATAAATAAATAAATCTTAAAAAAAAAAAAAAAAAAAGGTCAGAGTCTTGGTAAGAGTTAACTTTAAAAAATTATAGACTTGGGGCCAGCACTGTAGTGCAGTGGTTTAACGCCCTGGCCTGAAGCACCGGCATCCCATATGGGCGCCGGTTCGAGACCTGGCTGCTCCTCTTCCGATCTAGCTCTCTGCTATGGCCTGGGAAAGCAGTGGAAGATGGCCCAAGTCCTTGGGCCCCTGCACCCACGTGGGAGACCCGGAAGAAGCTCCTGGCTCCTGGCTTCAGATCGGCGCAGCTCCGGCTGTTGCTGCCATCTGGGGAGTGAACCATCGGATGAAGATATCTCTCTCTCTCTCTCTCTGCGCCTCTGCTCTCTCTGTGTAACTCTTTCAAATAAATAAATAAATCTGAAAAAAAATTATAGACTCGACCATCTTCAGGAGCAGGCTACAGGAAAGACAGGTGCTGGTATGACTTCAATAGCAGATACAGGGCCTGGCGTGGTGGCACAGAAGGGTAAGCCGCACTTTGACACGAGTGTCCCACATTGGAGCAACAGCTTGAGTCCCAGCAGCTCTGCTTCTGATCCAGCTTCCTGCTAACGCGCCAGGGAAGGCATGGCCTAACTACTACTTGGGTTCCTGCCACTGCCACCCATGTGGGAGACCAGGATAGAGTTCCCGGCTCCTGGTTTTGGCCTGGCAGTTACAGACATTTGGGAGGGAACCAGTCAATAGACGACCTTTATGTCTCTCCCTGTCTGCCTTTCAAATAAATAAATCTTTAAAAAAATAAAATAGCAGATTTAGGTTTACACAACCAAATATCAAGGAAACACAGAATGACCCTGGCTTCTCGGCAGTGTCCACGACAATCAGCTAGGCCAGTTTCCCCGAGTCCTCCTCTGGTGGCTGATGTGTTGCTGCTGAGGTGAGTCGACTCTGCTGCTTGATGGATGGACACGGACATGGGGGAGAGTGACCACAAGACACTACTGGTTTTCCTGAAGTAGAACTGGAGCAATTTATACCGGAGCATTACCAGGTATATAATCTCCGAGCTCATATTTATAATGGCGTCATGCCTGCTAGCATCAGTAGAGTGCTCGGGGGAGAAAAACAGTGTGAGTTTCATTCACATATACTGGAGTAAAGAAGCACGCAAACAGACTTTTACAGAAAGGACGCCTCCCCCTGGGCTGAGCACCATCTGTCCCTTCTGCACTGTTGGCACCTCGAATATGCTTGTACCAACCCTGACTTGCCCACACAAATTCCAAGCAACCAGTCCAGAGATAGAAGGCTGTTTTTCTTACATTCACACTGTAGTCTCCTTGATACATGGAAAACACTACCAGATGCCTCAAGCTTTGGATGAGTATTTTTCAGCCAGACAAATGACTTTCACAAGAAAGCTAACAGTCTCAGCTTTTCTGCACCAATCCCCAAGTCTTGTCTATGATTTTAAGTCAATGATTCTAAAATGAAATTCTCAGAGAAGCGCTGCATTAAGATCATCTTAATTTTTCTTACTCACTGCCCTAGGCTAGGATTGTCCTGTACCAAGAAGTTTAGAAAAGTAGAGACAAAGATTTTCACTGACAAAGACATTTTATGACAACAAAACCTTCCGTTCATAATTTCCTGGATTTAAATGGCTTGTTTAACCCTCGAGGGATCGCTGCCCATTTCAATGCTCCATAATCTCTTACTCAGATTCTCTGTTTAGATATCTTACAAGCCACAAAAGGAGATTTTCTTTCTTTTTTCTATCTTTAAGATGTATTTATTTATTTGAAAGTCAGGGTTGCAGAGGAGAGACAGAGAGAGGTCTTCTATCCATGGGTTTGCTCCCCAGATGGCTGCAATGGCCACGCTGGGTCAGGCTGAAGCCAGGAGCCAAGAGTTTCTTCCAGGTCTCCCACATGGGTACCAGGGGCCCAGGGATGTGGGCCATCATCCACTGCTTTCCCAGGCCATTAGCAAAGAGCTGGATTGGAAGTGGAGCAGTCGGGACATGAACCAGTGCCCATATGGGATGCCGGTGTCTCAGGTGGTAGTCTGCCACAATGCCAGCCTCAGGAACTTTTCTTCATCCACTCTTCCTGTCTCCAAAAACCTTTCCAAAAACCTTGAAGAATCTAAGAGTTGCTGTTATTTGTGTGAGTCAATACACACACACACACAAACACACACACACACTTCTACCCAAGGAAACCTCTCTATGCTATTTCTACACAACACAATTGTGTAGAAGCAGCCCAGCTTCAACCAGAGGTTGAAGGAGCTTAACTAACAGACAGGACAATAGCAATATACTATTTCTATCTCCTCTGCTAAAAATGAGTTCTCAATTTTCAGTATGGGTTATTAAATATAATCTAAGAACATACTTCCAATAAACAGTAGGGTACAAAAAGGACATCTTTTATACAATGTTCAACAGAAAAGCACATGTATTTAAATTAATCTAGTCAAAAGGAAATTCCTTCCTTTCTGAGAATTAGTACTGAAAAAGAAAACTACCAGCTGGGGGCCTGGACACAGTAGGTTAATCCTCTCCCTGCGGCGCTGACATCCCATATGGGCGCCAGTTCTAGTCCCGGCTGCTCCTCTTCCAATCCAGCTTTCTGCTATGGCCTGGGAAAGCAGTAGAAGATGGCCTAAGTTCTTGGGCCCTTGCACCCACATGGGAGACCAGGAGGAAGCTCCTGGCTCCTGGCTCCGGATTGGCGCAGCTCCGGCCATTGTGGCCAACTGGGGAGTGAACCAACAGAAGGAAGACCTTTCTCTTTGTCTCTCCCTCTCACTGTCTGTAACTCTATCTCTCAAATAAATAAAATCTAGGGAGGGAGGAAGGGAAGGAGGGAATAAGAAAACTACCAGCTGAGGCAGGTGCTGTGGCACAGCAGATTAATGCCCTGGCCTGAAGCACTGGCATCCCATATGGGCACCAGTTCTAGTTCCGGCTGCTCCTCTTCCGATCCAGCTCTCTACTGTGGCCTGGGAAAGCAGTAGAAGATGGCCCAAGTGCTTGGGCCCCTGCACCCATGTGGGAGACCCGGAAGAAGCTCCTGGCTCCTGGCTTCAGATCGGCACAGCTCCAGCCATTGCAGATAACTGGGGAGTGAACAAGCGGATGGAAGACCTCTCTCTCTCTCTCTCTCTGACTCTCTTCTCTCTGTGTAACTCTGACTTTCAAATAAATAAATAGATCTTAAAAAAAAAAAAAGAAAACTGCCAGCTTTCTACGGTGTTTGAGAGGTGTATCGGGGTCTAGGGATCTTCAGGAAAGCTGTGCCCCATCCTTTTACTGCAGAGAAGAGCTGGATGCCGGAATTTAAGAAGTCAGAGATGTGTAAGAGGCCGGGTGTTTAATTTCATTTCAGTCAGATATAAACGACTTTTGAACGCCTGGTGTTTGCGTTCTCCATGCACATGTTCCTCTCTGTGGAGCTGATCTGTATGAAACGGTGCCTTGACTGCAGATGCTAGAAACCATCTGGCCTGCGTCCCCCAGCCTCCTCCTTGGCTTCACTCCCTGAATTGAGGCAGTGGTACAGCTGGACCAGACTCAGAAGGTCATCTGCTTCTCCATTCGATGACACCTTGGTGGCCAGCACCGTCTCTCTGGGTTTTGTTTAGGTGAATTCCAGGCCCAGGGCAGAAAGCACTGAAGCCCACTTGGCCATCCTAAACATTTCCTGAAGAATACAGAACTGCTGACCCATCAGAAACTTGGACACTTGGACACTAACTGAACATGAAACCGGACCACATAACCACTGTGACTCCAACCTGCCCCTCGTAGCCTTTATTCCCTTTCTTCCAGACTCCTGCTTCCTGGAAGCCTCCTTACAAACCCTAAAACACCCTCACCTGTCAACAGGTGAAACATTCTCTTTCCTTTACCCTCAAACCTTGTTCTTGTTATTTTGATTCAGCACTGGGGACAGGGATGGAGCTTTCAGAAACACTTAAGGGAATTGGTAGCATTTCTCATTTTTCTTCAAAAGATTTCTAAGTACTTCACATAATCTAGTAAGATATGTTCAAGAAAGAAAAAGACCCATTGACAGTGTTAGAGATCAGCCACAGACAGAGAAAAGTGTTGGAAACTTGTTCAAGAGCACTGTTATTACACATGAGAAAATAATACCACCAGTAACACGTGCCACAGCCCTCCAAGAAATGTCTATCTTCCAGCTCCCTCTCAACCCAAATTTGCATAGGGCCTGTTCTTTTTTCTACCAAAATTGTCTGCACAAGAGCAAGACTGAGCCTGGAGGGACATGCCTCATTGGCTTGTCACTTACCCATGCTTCTTTGACCTCTTCAGAGACATCAGTTGCATCCTCCTGAAAAGGAAGGAGAAGGAAAAATAAGACAATCATCACAGATACCCCTGAAAGCAACCAAGTCAGCTCCCATCAATTATGCATGTTGGCAGGGAGGACTGACTGCCAAGTGATGCTCTGCCACTGCCACTCTTAACAGCCGTCACCGCAGTCAGCAGAGCGATGTCACCCGGGGTCAAAAATGTCAAAGCAAACCACTGCTGGAAAAGGGGCATCTTGAAGGAAGACAGAATTAACTTCCTCTTAGTCAATAATTAGCAGTCTGCTTGGCTTTATACTTTTACCAAAAGAACAGCTTCTGGTAGATGACTCCTACTGTCTCATTTCTTGTCTCTAACTTTCAAATAAGCCTGTGGTAAGTAGGTTCCTCTTGTTCAAGACACTGGCTCCTGGATTTTTAAACTATTAGTAACAAGGCTGAATGAGAAAGGCGCAGAACAAGATATGAGAGAGGCACATTAAAGTACTGAGTGTGTGTTTAAAATTACTAGGTGTAGGTGTATCTGTCTGTATTTTAAAGTCAAGGTTAATCTGTCCACATTATTTGTTCTTTATTCTCTACAAAAGAGTAAAACCGAACCAAATGAATTTGCCTTGCTTACAGATTTTAAAGTCCTTGAAATCCTTGCAGCTCTTTGCTTACATGTGATAATAAGATGTTGTTGACTATATGACTTTTAAGGCACTGCTAAAACTTGACACTTGTTATATGTTTAGATGTAAATTTCCAGTTTTTTTAACTCGTCACCAATTATTTACCTAGTGCCTACCATATGCTTAGCACTGTTCTAGGAACTGGGTATCCAGCAGATATCCACTAAGCGAGTCCTTCACTAGTTAAATCCTTCTTCTCTCCTCCTCAGTAACACTTCTTGACAATCTGCAAGATTCAAGCCACTGTGTGGGACTCCTTCTTTTGAAGTCAAGGCAGCTGCGGTAACGACATCCCCCAGCAGAGACCAGTCCACTTACATCCTTTGTCCAGAAATTGATGCCCGTGCCTCTCCGCCGCTCCTTGGGCCGCCTCCTCTCTCGGATGGACAGCCTATTAGAGGACTGACCATCCAAATCTGCTTCTTCACTCTCTGGCCGAGACAAAGCAAAGGATGACTCAGACTCTGGGACGTGTGCACTGAGCGGGGCCTGCACCTGAGGCTCTACTTACCGTTTCTGTCCATTTCTTTTGCAGGTGCAGCGTCTGCAGTTGTCTCTGAACTCTCAGATTCAGGGACTGAAGATCTGCTTGTTCGTAATAGATGGGAACTGGTGTAGAGTGAGGGTCTCGAAGCAGAAGGAGACACTGGGGTTGTGGGTTTGTCTGGCTGAGACGGATACCTCAAGCGACGGTAAATAGGCTGGAAATAATCCACGGACGAGATGTTAAAGGTCAAGTCTAATCAAAGGACAAGGACAACAGGTTTATTCAAAATGGGCTTTAATTAAGAGGCTTTATAGTAACTGATACTCAATAAATAACCACTAAACCGAAGTTAGTAAAATCACCAGAAAAAAATAGCTTTTAGACTCTTTTTCTAAGAATATCATCATGTTAACAGCATTCTAGGCAAATTTCTTCTAGACAGATCAAAGAGCACTAGATAACATGAACTATGTTAACAACCATATTTTTGACCTTGGAATGAAAATGGAAGAATGATGGCCTTTTTCAGATGAGGTGCTGAAAGAAAAGGTTTATGTAGGAAAACAAACAGCTCAGGAATGTGAAGTAGAAGGAGGGATTATCTGCAAACATAGAGCAAGTGTGTACTCCACCAACTTCTGAATACTTGACCAACTTACCATAACCAAGCTTACTGACACTTTTTAAAAATTCCTATTTTCACCTTTGAAGTTTTTTTCCCTTGAGAGTCGGGACAGATAGAGTCTGACAATAAGCCTTAACTTGGTTTATTGCAGATGTGGAGATAAATTCTTATTACATAATTTACAATGTAAAGATTATATATCTTTTTGTTTATAAATTATAAAGACTGGGGCCAGTATTGTGGTCTGCAGCACCAGCATCCTGGCTTTTCTACTTCCGATTCAGCTCCCTGTTAATGTGCCTGGGAAAGCAGTGGAGGATGGCCCAAGTCTTTGGGACCCTGCACCCACGTGGGAGATGTAGAAGAGGCTCCTGATTTCAGATCAGCCCAGCTCTGGTCATTACAGCCATTTGGGGAGTGAACCAGGGGATGGAAGACCTCTCTCTGTCTCTGTCTCTATCTTTCTCTGTTACTCTTTCAAATAAATAAAAATAAATCTCTAAAAAAATCATTTAAAAATAAATTATAAAGAGGGGGGTATGCTTGGTGCAGTGGTTAAGATGCCACTTGGGACAACCCATACTGGATGCCTGGGTTCAAGGCCCAGCTCTGCTTCTAATGCAAGTCTCCTGGGAGACAGCAAGTGATGGTTTAGGTATGACTCCCTACCATCCATGTGGCAAACCTAGATTGAGTTCCAGGCCCCTAGCTTTGGCCTGGCCCAGGCTAGCTGTTGCAGGTATTTAGGGAATAAAGCAGCAGATCGAAGATCTCTGTTTCTATTGCTCTGCCTTTCAAATAAATTGAAAAAAATAAAGCTTCCCTCTGATCAGAGAGTGAATCTCTTTCAACATTAATAAATAAATAGAAAATAATAGAAGCAACAAAGTATAGCAAGCCTCAGAGTCAGAGAGAACTTGGTTCACTCTAGCTTCAACACTTACTGGCCGCATGATCTTGAATTAGTTAGTAACTTCTCTGGCCCCAGCTTCCCCATCTTCCTCAAGCAATACAGGGAAAACACCTTCCTCAGACAGAGTTCGGAGGATTAAGTAAGATAATATGTGTTGGGGCTGGCGCTGTGGAGTAGCTGGTTAAGCTGCCACCTGCAGTGCCGCATCCCATCTGGGCGCCAGATCGAGTCCTGGCTGCTCCACTTCTGATCCAGCTCTCTGCTATGGCCTGGGAAAGCAGTAGAAGATGGCCCAAGTCCTTGGGCCCCTGCACCTGCGTGGGAGACCCGGAAGAAGCTCCTGGCTCCTGGCTTCAGATCAGCGCAGCTCCAGCCGTTGCGGCCAATTGGGGAGTGAACCAGCGGATGGAAGACCTCTCTCTCTCTCTGCCTCTGCTCTCTCTGTGTAACTCTGAATTTCAAATAAATAAATAAATCTTTAAAAAAAAAAAAGATAATGTTTGTTAGGGACTTAACAATATCTGGTAATAAGTATTCAGTGAAGAGTATCTCATAAAACAAAATACACGACAGAACCTCAACGACGGGACCTCGCCAGTCAGTCAGAACAAAGGCATTGCTTTCTCCTGTAACTACAGTGACCACAAAATGTAGGAGTCTAAACCAGGACACCTCTGAGAGTAAACAGAAGTGGGAATGCTAACTGACACAGAACAGGTGTAACTGGAACCATCTTAGGTGACACCTTGACTGCAAACTCTTTTAGAAAAATGGAACATAAATTAAAATGCCTATCCAAGTGTCCATCCCAACAGTGACAGCACGGAGGGCTTCGTAAGGTCTCAGATCTGCAGGAGTCTGGAGACCAGCACACTTGAATTGAGAGAGTGATCTGTGGAGTCAGCCTGCGTAAGCGCGTCTTAGCTGTGTGAAATGCTGGGCAAACCACTCAACCTCTCCGTGACTGGATTTCTTCACGTATAGAAAAGGAGTTGCTGGGAGGGTTAAATGAACTCATACACCGCAGTGGCCGGCATAAAGCCAACACACAAAAAGGGCTCATATTTTTATTTTTATTATACCATGATCTCTCTTTTTAGGACAGAAAGACATGTATTCAAAAGCATTAGTTAACTCCCAGAGAAAAAGAACAGTCACTTAAAGACTGATATCCTTTAAAGTCTTCTTTCTCCGGCATGCTACCTGCTCTGCGCTGTCCACTGAGAGACGGCACACAGCACTTGAATTACCAGCAAGGAGCAGATCCATACATGAACCACGCACAGTACACCGCCAGCACGATGGGCTCACCTCGTCATCCAGGCTCCCGCCCCAGGGCTGCTGACCCTCCCCAGCTTCCTTTGCTGGGGCTGCTGAGGGCTCTTGCTTCTCAGGGCTCTTCTCCAGCCCTGCGGTGTCCACAGGCTGCTCACCAGGCTGCTCCTGAGCTTGCCTCTCTGCCCTCGACCGGCTGAAAGTCCTTTCTGCTTCTTGAAGGTCTGTCAGCGTAACACCCTGGGAAAACATCGGAGCACCAGGGCAGTTTCACACCAACCAGGGGCTGACTGGACGAGTGAGCAGGGACGCTCTCCCAGAGAACTAACAGTTATCAAATCCCACATAAAATTCCCCAAATGCCTAAAGGCCATATCAAACAACATATGCTTAAAATAAGCTCCTCAGTGTGCAAAGAACCCAGGCCTGAGTTTAGGTACATTCAGAACACAAAATTTCAGCTTTTCCAATGTGATCTCCAGAAAATAGGTCAACACTGATGTCTGCCTGTTATATATATACTTCTTTCATAACAAAGAGTTCTCAACACTTTTATTTGAAAGCTCCCTACTTTCCCAAGATCAAATGCTGACCAAAAGAGATTTCTCTGAATGGCAGAGATTGGAAAAACTTAGCATTACCCATAGAAAGAAAAATCACACTCAAAAAGGTGGCAATTCAGAGCTGGTCTGGAACAACAACTAACCCCCCCACAACCCTGTATTAGCTTTTCCGTAACATCACTTCCTAACCCTACGGATCACACAGAGATGTCCCAACAATTCATGCCCTCCCTGGGTCATAGAAGCAGCAGGACTGAAGAAAAGCAAAGGGTGAGACACCTGTGCAGAAGGGAGAAAAGCTGTCAGGAAGAGCAGGGCTGATTCCAACTCGAGTAGTTGTGCGTTCAAGTTCTCAGAAGAAGCAGTCCCAGAGCTAAGGCAGTTGATCAGGTACCTTATCCACAATTTTGCTTTATTTATTTATTTTTTTAGTATTAATTCATTTTCTTAAAGAATTAAGTGTTTTAAGCATGAGAACTACAAAGACCAATCAATTATCCTCATCAAGAATCTTTTAATCTAGTGGAAAAGTCATAAGAAAATGAGTATAATGAGAAAATCTACGTACTCAGACAGAAACACACAAGAGGAATACCTAACACTGGGTTCTGAAGGTAGGGAAGGGACTTGGGTGGCGAGGAGGACGATAGAGGCAGAGAGAACCTGTGCAAAGACACAGAAACAGAAGAGGCCACGGATGATGAATTTGGCAAATCTGAGGCACACAATGAAAGAGGGAAGTTAAGGGAGCAGAATGAGGAGAACAGGCAGAGGTGAGGGTGTGACAGATCCTACACGCCGTGCTAGGGAGCTTGCATCCACCTTTAGGAGAGACACTTTTCTGGGCACCAGAAGTCCCTCTGACAATCATGAAGACTACTGAGAATCGAATACATTTGTCATAAAAGCTACGTGCACTTTTCAAGGAGTTCATAGACCCCTTCAAGTTCTGATGTGTGCCTTCACCTTGTACTGAATCCCTGTGAGATATCTGTGTGTTCCAGTTTCTCCCACCTTCAATTCTAGGTCCTCCTCCAGCTACCTCCCTATCTTTTCTCACCCCTTCAAATATAAAGTTGAAATCATCCTAGAATACTTTATATTCTCCTAACATTTATTCCTCACTCACTTATTTATTCAATAAATATAAATTGTTTATTATATGCTGGGGAAAGGATGATGAGAAAAATTATAGTCAGTTTTCTTATTCTCACCCTTTAGGATGGCTATTATTAAAAAAAAACAAACATAAAGCAAGTGTAGGTGAGGATGTGGAGAAGTTAAAACCCCGTGCATTGACGACATAATTGTAAAGTGGTACAGCTACTATAGGAAACAGTATGGCAATTCTTCAAGAAATTGAATGCAGAATTACCACAGGAACCAGTAAATTCCATTTCTGAGTATATACAATTGAAAAAAGAAAATGAAAGCAGTACCTTAAAGATATATTTGGACAGCCATTCTCATAGCAGTGTTGTTTACAATAGTCAAAAGGTAGAAACAACCCAAGCGCCCATCAACAGATGAAAAGATAAAACAGGGCACATGCATACAATGGAATATAATTCAGCCCTATAAAGGAGGCAAATCCTGATCCATGCTAGAATCTGAACCTGAGGACATGCCACATAAAATCACCCAGACAGAAAAGGACAAATACGAGTACTCTATGACTCCACTTGTATGAGCTTCCTAGAGTGGTCACGTTCATAAAGACAGACAGAACGGCATTGCTAAGAAGAAATGGGGAAATGGAAGGTGAGAGAGAGTGGGAAAGGGGAGGGTTGCGGGTGGGAAGTCATCGGGGGTGGGGGGAAGCCAATGTAGTCCATAAGCTGTACTTTGGAAATCTATATTCATTAAATAAAAGTTAAAAAAAAAAAAAAAGTAATGGGGAGTAACTGATGGACACATAGTTTCAGTTTGGCAAGATGAAGAAACTTCTAGAGATCGATGGTGGTGACAGTTACTCAACAAACTGAATGAACTTAATGCCAGCAAACTGTACACATGAAAACGATGAAGTTGGTAAATTCTATGTTACGTATATTTTGCCACACAAAAACAAAACTAGAAAAATACGGCCAGTCTTAATCCTCATGGAAGTGACATTCTAATAGGAGAAACAGACTTGCAAATGGAATCACCAAGAAAAACGACAGGAAGAACACTCGGCCTCAGGAGTCGGGGAAGGCAACAAGGGTCTCTTGCTGCTCAGTGTAATTCAGTGCCCCTTTTAAATGGCCAGCTCTCCCAGTTGACCTCTGTGGTCCTTGAAACTGTTGAACTTGATTTTTCCCTGAAAACTGACTGCTCCTTTCCATGCCACTACTGTTTTCCAGTTTTCTTTTCACCTCTCTGGTTGCTTTTTACTCTGCATCATAGGTTCCTCTCTCTCTGCCTCCTTAAATAACTCTAATTAGTAGCTTTCTCTCCATTCTGACTGCCATTACACCTGAGTTCATGCCCTTGTCATTTTCAGCTTGGACTATTATTAGCAGTTTCCTAGCAAATCTTCTTGTTTCCAGGATTGGCAAATATACTACAACCTATCACTCCCAAAAATTCTCTGTATGCTAATTTTTGCAAAATATAATGTGCACTATATCATACTCTTCCTGAAACTGTTTCAGTGGCTTCCTTTGCGATTCTTTTAGTTGGGAGTGGGGGAATCTTTATTGAAATATCATCCACATATTTTAAAATTCACCCTTTTAAAGTATGTAATTCATTGCTTTTTTTTTTTTATATTCAGTGTTCAGGATCAACTATCACCACAATCCAATTTCAGAACATTTTGATTATCCCAAAAAGAAACCCCACACCATTAGTAGTCACTTCCTATTCTGCCCTCCTTCTAATCCCTGGCAGGAATCTATTCTGTCCTAGCAGGAATCTGTCTCTCTGGACTTGTCTTTTTGGACATTTCCTACAAAGAAAATCATACAATATATGGAGTTTTTCGTATCTGGCTTCTTTCATTTAGCATATTTTTTTTTTATGGTTCATTCATGTTGTAGTTTATATGAGTATTACACACTGACAAGGTTTCCATATTCCAAGAATGAACCAATTAGAGGCCCAATCAAAATGACAGGCATGCTGGTCTTGCTTGGATCCTGGAGGAATAGTTGAGAGTGGGAAGACCCTAGGTAGTATAATATTCAACACAGTTAGTGCAGTGGCTGGAATAAGGTACTCATTTTAATATTTTTTCATTGTACTCCTAAGAGAAATGACACTACAGAAAGCCACTCACTTGAGTAGACCTTCGTGTCTGCCGAGCTTGTCTGGAGCGTGCTTTCCGCAAAGACTCTGCTTCTTCATCTCGTACAGGGGTCAGATAGGACCTGCAGAGAGAGTAAAAATGGCAGGGAGGCTATCAGCTACGAATAAAAGTTATAGAACTCAAGATATTATTTGTATTATGCTCATGGAGAATCATGTCATCAGAAAAATAAGGATTTTATTCTTCTTTCTCTATTATTATAACAATGATTTCTTTTCTTGCCTTAATGCTCTGGCTAGAACCTCGAGGACACATTGAACAGGAGCCATGACAGACATTCATGTTCTGTTCCTGCCTTCAGAGAAAAGACTTGCAGTGCTTCATTATTAAGAGTGATTGGTCTGGGGGCTGGCACTGTGGTGTAGTGGGTGAAGCCACTGCCTGCAGTGCCAGCATCCCATTTGGGTGCTGGTCTGAGTCCTGGCTGCTCCACTTCCAATCCAGCCCTCTATGGCCTGGGAAAGCAGTGGAAGATGAGCCAAGTCCTTGGGCCCCTGCACCCACATGGGAGACCCAGAAGAAGCTCCTGGCCCCTGGCTTCAGATTGGCACAGCTCTGGCTGTTGTGGCCATTTGAGGAGTGAATCAGCAGATGGAAGATATCTCTCTCTCTCCTTCTGCCTCTCTGTAAGTCTGACTTTCAAGTAAACAAACAAATCTTTAAAAAAAAAAAAAAAAGTGACTTCTGAGGCCAGCATTGTGGTAAAGTGAGTAAAGCCACTGCATGCAATGCTGGCATCCCATATGGGCGTCAGTTTGTGTCCCTACTGCTCCACTTCCAATCCAGCTCCTTACTAATGGCCTGGGAAAAGCATCAGAAGATGGCCCACGTGCTTGGGCCCTTGCTACCCACATGGGAGGCCTGGAAGAAGTTCTTGGCTTCTGGCTTCACTCTGGCTCAGCCCTAGCCACTGTGGCCATTTGGGGAGTGAACCAGCTTATGGAAGATTTCAATCTCTTTCTATAATTCAAATAAATACATCTTTTTTAAAAAATCAAAATGACTGTTCTAAGATTTCTGTAGATTCTATTCATTAAAGTAATTCTCTTCCAAACCTATAGAAAGCAGGCTAAGAGGGTCTTGTTGCTGTAGTTACTGTTTAATCATTAGAGTATGTTGAGTTTTATCACATGCTTTTCTTCCCCATTTATTGAGGTTCTTACCTTTCTCTGTTAATATGGTGAATCTCACTGAATAATTTTTGAATGATACAACGAATTTTTTAAGACCCAACTTGGTCGATGCACTTTTATACGGATGCGCTATCATTTGCTCTAGGATCTCCACATCTATGTCTGTGATTGACCTGTGATTTTCCCTTCTTCTAGTATTGCTGACGATTTTGTGAATCATGGTTATGGAAGCTGGGAAATGCTGTCTACTTGTCTCCTGTCTGCAAGAATTTGTGTCAGATCTGCATTTTTTCTTCCTTAAATGATTGGGAGAGTTCACCAATAAAATTCATCAGGGTTTAGAGTGTTCTTTGCAGTAAGGCTTTAAATAAAAGGCTCAACTGTTGAATATACGTAGGCTTATTGGCTTTGGTAACATTTGTTTTTCACGGAGTTTTTTATTTTATCTATATTATTACATGTAGTGGCATAAAACTGTTCATTTTAAAGTCTGTAACAGTAGTTCTCACACTTTTTTGCTCCCAGGATCTTTTTGTTCTCTTTAGGAAATGTTCATTTGGTTTTATTTATTTGAAAATCAGAACATTAGAGAGAAAAAGAACCAGAGGTATCTTCCACCTGCTGATTCACCCCCCAAATGCCCACAGCAGCTGGGCCTGGGCCAGGCCAAAGCCAGGGCCAGGAACTCCATCTGGGTCATCCACATCAGTGGCTGGGACTCAGTACTTGAGCCATCAACTGCTAACCATGGGGAGACCCAGGTGGAGTTCCAGTGTCCAGGCTTCAGCCTAGCACATCCTCAGCCATTTCAGTCATTTGGGGAGTGAACCAGTAGATGGAATATCAATATATCTCTCTCTCTGTCAAATAAATTTTTAAAAAAGATTTATTTATTTATTTGAAAGTCAGAATTACAGAGAGAGAGAGAGAGAGAGAGAGAGAGAGAGAGAGAGAAATCTTCCATCTGCTGGTTCACTGCCCAACTGCCCACAAAGGCTGGAGCTGCGCTGATCCAAAGCCAGGAGCCTGGAGCCTCTTCCCGATCTCTCACATGGGTGCAGGAGCTCAAGCATTGGGGCCATCCTCCACTGCCTTCCCAGGCCATAGCAGAGAGCTGGATCAGAGTGGAGCAGTCGGGACTCAAACCGGCGCCCATAAGCGATGCTGGCACTGGAGGCAGCTTTACCCGCTACGACGCAGCACCGGCCTCAAATAAAATTTTTTTTTGAAAAAAAATTTGTGAGGGCCATTGCTGTGGCTTAGTAGGCTAAGCTTCTGCCTGTGGTGCTGGCATCCCATATGGGTGTCCATTCAGGTCCCAGCTGCTCCTGTTCTGATAAAGCTCTCTGCTGTGGCCTGGGAAAGCAGTGGATGATGACCCAAGTACTTGAGCCCCTGCACCTGCATGGGAGACCTGGAAGAAATTTCTGGCTCTTGGCTTTGGATCAGCCCAGCTCTGGTCGTTGCAGCCATTTGGGGAGTGAACCAGCAGACGGAAGATCTTTCTCTCCATCTCTCCCTCTCTCTATCTTTAACTCTACCTTTCAAATAAATAAATAAAAATCTTAAAGAGAAAAAAGAATCTGTGGATATAAAAGGCTGACTGCATTCAATTTCCTGTATACCACAGGTCACTTTCATTGGTATTATTCAACAGAACTTTGTATGATAGTGGAAATGTATACTTGCCACAGTCTAATACAGGAACCTGTGGTCACATGTGGCTGTGGGTCACTTACAGTGTGGCTAGTGAGCCTGAGGAGTTTTTATTTGTATTTGATTTTAATTAAAGCAGTCATACATGACTACTGGCTACTGTGCTGGACTGCTTAGCTCTAGATGTCCTTCAAATCCAATTAAGAGATCTTACTGTCAAGCCCTCTCCTTAAACCTGAAAACCATATCCAAATCATAGAACACAAAGCTAGCAGAATTTTGCTATGAATGAAGTTTGTAAGCTAGCTAAGTTTAAAAGCAAATGAGTTCATTTTTCTTCTCAAAGTTCATGCTTTTCTGGTATGTTCCCCACAGGCAACATTACAGTAAACTTAACTTCATGGTACTTTATGGTTTATCAGGTAGTGCTGGGCGCTATATTCAAGCTATTTATAGGTACAGCAAATAGGAATAAGCTACAGATACAGCATGCTTTAGAGCAACCAACTGCAGCACTGACACTGCTGTTCCCATATGCCTTAACCCAAACCACCCCACACTCCCTCTGGCCCCTTTGACAAACAGAGTTCCAAGAAAACAGACCATTACCTCCTTGTGCAGGCCTGCATAGCAGAATGAAGGTCAAGAGATGCGTGGAGACGAATAGCAAGAAAGGTAAGTGGCTGCTGGGAAAGACTGCAGTCTCAGCACCCGGTCTCCCTTGGAAACTAGAAAAGGCTTGCACTGCCACTGCTATCTAGCAAGCCAGAGGCAAAGCCTGTAATTTGCTAAGAAGCTGCTACTAGGAAAGAGGAGGAGGAGAAATAAGGGGAGGGGAAAAGAGGAGGAAGGCAAAATCTAGGGGCTTGGAAGAGCCAGTGCTGCTGATAGCTCCCAAAATACCATTCCACTTGATGCATATTTTATACACTGTATCAAACCAATCAATATGACATCTCCTTTGTAGACAGGGAGGGAGGAATTCTTCCTCACGTAGAAGATACGGCAGGAGGGATGCAGCACCCTCATTCTGGATCTATTTCATTTGTCCTTGGGCTATCCTAGTTGCTGCATTCACCCAAGTGAGCTGTAAATATGGCTTCACTTGAAGCTCAGGCCCGGCCAGCCGGCAAACGCCAACAGTGCTGAAGACACAAATAAAACCACACGACAGACAGAAATGTAGGGGAACTTCAGATCCCCTATCAGTGGGTAAAACGTAGATAGAGGGAGACGGTAAGTACTGCTCAATTTGATAAGGTAGCAACAGACCAGAAAAATGTCTGCATCTAATGTGTCATATATTGAGACAGAATCTGATGTCATAGGTTAGGAAAACTGCATTCAAATGCTCATGTGTCATTTTGGTCTCTTTGCCTCTCTAAATCAACACTGCAATCAGAGCTAAAGCTTAGGCAAGGAACCACAGCCACCACTCCAGTAAGTGGAATAATTCAAGATAAAAAGAGAAAGAGAGGCCAGCGCTGTGGCTCAATAGGCTAATCCTCTGCCTGCGGCGCCGGCACCCTGGGTTCTAGTCCCAGTCAGGGCGCCGGATTCTTTCCCGGTTGCCCCTCTTCCAGGCCAGCTCTCTGCTGTGTTCCGGGAGTGCAGTGGAGGATGGCCCACATCCTTGGGCCCTGCACCCACATGGGAGACCAGGATAAGCACCTGGCTCCTGGCTTCGGATCAGCGCGGTGCGCTGGCCGCAGTGGCCATTGTGGGGTAAACCAATGGTAAAGGAAGACCTTTCTGTCTCTCTCTCTCACTGTCCACTCTGCCTGTCCAAAAGAAAAAAAAAAAAAAGAGAGAAAGAGAGGGATTTTCCCTCAGCCAATTTAAGCATTCCCTGAATCCTCTGGACCAGTAGTTCTCAACAGGGTACAAGTTTGCCCCTATAGAGGGCAACAACAAAGAATTACCTGACCCAACATTCAACAGTGCTGAGTTTGCAGGCATTAGGGTCAGCACATTTTTCCTGCAGAGGCTAGATGGTAAATCCTTTAGGTTTTGTGGGTCCTACAGTGCCAAAGGAGTAAAAGATAATACATGAGTGATGGGTAAGACTGGGCACCTCTGCTTATCATGCTACAGTGCAGAGTTCAGCAGCTGCAACACAAACCAATTGGCCTGAAAAGCATAAACTATTTACTATCTAGCCCTTCTGTTTCCCAGTCACCACACTAGGGCTCAAAGAACTCCTCTTGCTGTACAGACAATGCAAATCTGGTGTTTCCGTGACCTACCTTAGATAAATAAATAAAAACTAGAT